GTTTACATTCCAGTGTTTGGATTTAAAATTATTTTTATTTATTTATTTTTTTAATCCTCACCCGAGAATATGCTCAGAGAAAAGTTGGGAGAGAGAGAGAAACATCAATGTGAGAGAGATACATAGATTGGTTGCCTCCTGCTCAACTGGAGATCAAACCCAAAATGGAGGTATATGCCCTGATCAGGGACTGAACCAGCAACACAAGCTTTTTTTAAAAAAACCAACATATTTTATTGATTTTTCACAGAGAGGAAGGAAGAGGGATAGAGAGCTAGAAACATCGATGAGAGAGAAACATTGACAAGCTGCCTCCTGCATACCCCCTACTGGGGAATGTGCCCGCAACCAATGTACATGCCCTTGGCCGGAATCGAACCTGGGACCTTTGAGTCCGCAGACCAACGCTCTATCCATTGAGCCAAACTGGTTTCGGCAGCATAAGCTTTTAAGTGCACAGATTGATGCTCAACCAACTGAGCCACTGCAGCCAGGTGAAAATTCACACAATTTAAAGCAATACATCAAAATCTAGCACAGGACAATGTAAAATTTGCATTGTCTGAAATTCAATAAAAAAATTACCTGGCAGACATAAAAAGAATCAGGAGAAAAATCAATCAACAGAAACTATCCCAGAAAGGACAGAGATGATGGGATTAGCACCTATTATAAATATTCTAAAGGCCTGATGCACGCAATCTGTGCACAGGTAGAGTCCCTAGGCCTGGCTGGCAACCAGGGCCAATCGAGGCCTTCCTTCAGGCTGCTGGCCAGGGCCTTCCTTCGTTCCACACCGCACCCTAGGTGTCAGTGCATGTCATAGTGAGTAATCAAACTCCTGGTCTTCGGGTTGAACTCCCGAGGGGACGCTTTACATAGTAGCCTTTTATAATTATAGATTCTATATGTTCAAGAAGGTAGAAGAACACAGCAACATAATAAGGAATGAAATGGAAGATATAAAAAGACCTAAATGGAACTATGGAAATAAAAAACACAATTTCTGAAATATAAACACACCATGAATAAACAGCTGGTTAGACACTACAAAAGAAACATCAATGGATGTGAAAACATAACAATATAACCTATCCAAAATAAAGCACAGAGTGAAATAAGATTGGGAAAAAACAATTAAAAATAAACAAAGAACAAAAACCCCACCTGTGGGACCAATGGTATAACACAGGTAATTAGAATCCTGAGAAGGGAGGTGGGACAGAACTCCCAAATTTGATTTTTAAAATGAAGTATACATCCATAGATTGAAGTAGAAAAATAAAAACAAGCCAGGGTTTCTAAAGAAAACCACAGCAAGATCATTATAATAAAATTGCTGAAAAGCAGCGATACGAATACTCAAAAAGCAGCCAAAAGAAAACAGAAACATTATAAACAAAGTAAAAACCTACTAGAATAGCTAAAACTAAAAACACTGATGACACAGATCTAGAAAACCTGAAACTCTCATACACTGCTGGCAGGAAAGCAAAAACAATGTTGCTAATTTTTAAAAGTTTGCAATCCTATTTAATAAAACCCTAATATGCAAATGACTGAATGGTGGAACGACCGGCCACTATGGCACACACTGACCACCAGGGGGCAGACACTCAATGCAGGAGCGTCCCACAGGGAGAGCGCAGCGGCGGCCGTGACAGCAGCCTCTCCTGCCTCTGCGGCAGTGCTAAGGACCCCCAAGGGGATGTCTGCCTGCCAGCTTAGGCCTGCTCCCACGGCAGGCGGACAACCCCCGAAGGGTCACAGACTGTGAGAGGATGCAGGCCAGGCTGAGGGACCCCTCGTCCCTCAGTGCACGGATGTTGTGCACCAGGCCTCTAGTTTCTTACATAAAGTGAAGCATGCATCCTGTACACAAATGTGTATTGTGGCTCTATTTTAATAGCTAAAAACTGGAATTAACCCAAATGTCTTTTGACTGCTGAACAGATAAACAGACTATTACCTCCATACAAGGGAATACCACTCAGCAGCAAAAAGAGACAACTGATTCACACAACACATGGGTGAGTCTCAAATGCATTTTAATAAATGAAAGAGGCAGACTCAAAAGGCTACATACTATATGATCCCATTTATATGACATTCTGGAGATATTATAGGGACAGAAAACTGATAAGTGGTTGTCAGGGACTGGGGGGCGGTCAGGGGGAGGTTAAGTGTAAAGTAGCACAAGGAAACTTTGGGGGGTGATGACAGAAATGTTCTATTGATTGTTATGCAACAGGCATGCGTTTACCAAATCCACACCACTACACTAAGAAGCAATTTACACTGTTTGTAAACCATTCTCTGATAAACCTTGTTTTTAACGAAGAGTAGGCTACACTCCTACAATTATATATCATGCAATCATTTTAGAAATAAGATGGATCGCCCTAGCTGGTTTGGCTGAGTGGATAGAGCGTCAGTCTGCAGACAGAAGGGTCCCAGGTTCAGTTTCAGCCAAGGGCACATGCCTGGGTCTCGGGCTTTATCCCCAGTGGGGGGATGTGCAGGAGGCAGCCCATCTATGATTCTCTCTCATCACTGATGTTTCTATCTCTCTTTCCCTCTCCCTTCCTCTATGACATAAAGATATACTTAAAAATAAATAAATAAAAATGAAAATGAGATGGATCCATTTACACTGGTAATAGGATAATCTCTAACATAAACTATTAGGAGTAAAAAGCAAGGTACAGAACAATAAATACAGTATGTTCCCATTTAGGGTAACACTGACTATCTCTGGGGAAGGAACCTAGAGTGGGAGCACATATCCTCTGGGCTATTTATTTATTTTATTTTTTTAAATCGCATGCTCCCATTCCTTTCAATTAGAAAAAGTAAAAGAAACTATTAACAGGTCAAGGCAAACCCACAGGTGCCTGGCCCAGAGGACTGACTCCTGCAGGCCCAAGAAACACGTGTAAGAACATGGAACTCAGTGCCAGATACGTACGAGGTGCTCAGTCAATAGCTGGGGAAGCAAAACATTGGGATGAATTCAGTGGCAAATCCAGGACAAAGGTGTTCTCTATCTGAACACCAGGTTTTTCAGCCGGAAGAGCCCCTGGTACACAAATAGCTGAGTTTGCATCGCTCAGTTAGAAAAAGAAAAGGAGCATAAAACCCACCTACCCTGGATTTACGTTTGGGCAGGCTGTTTCTCAGCACTCCTGTGCAAGCACACTGTGCGCCCTAACCTCAGCCTCCTAAGGGATGGGTGCAAGCCCTTCCCCCAGGGAGCACAGCCCACCCCAGGGCTCCTCCGGGGGTCCAAGAGCTATTCACTATGCCCACAGGGTCCTGAGCATCCTATCTCTCCCCACCCCCCAGGTCAGACACTCCCCTACTCTCCTGAAGGAACGAAACCACCCTCACAGTCTCCCCGCAGACAGGACAATCTCAGCACATCAGGCCCTGCCCCACACTAAGGCGTCCGTAAAAGAAAACCCCAAAGGAAAAGGCAAGATAAGCAACCAAGGCCCCTCAGCAGCATTTGGTAAAAGGAACTCCCAGGGTTTGGCACAGCTCTGCTCAGCAAGTCTGTTATCAAGGGAATCAGGAATCCAGGACACAAAGTGGACAAGGAGGAATGGTGTCAAAACAGCCAGCCTCAGAAGCCCCTCTTTGATCTCTGCTGTATTTGGCCTGGCCTCTCCTGGCTTCCAAGGATGTTCGACCATGGCCTGGCTGGGGTGGCTCAGTTGGTTGGGCATCATTCCAGTTCAATGCCTGTCCGGGTTGCCAGCTCAATTCCCAGGAGGGGGCGTGCAGAAGCAGTCACTGATGTTTTGCTCTCACATTGATGTTTTTTCTCTCTCTAACCCCCTCTCCCATCTTCTCTCTCAGTAAAAAAAAACAAAAACAAACAAAACAAAACAAACAAACAAAAAAAGACTTTTAAAAATTAAAAAAAAAGTTTGGCCACTGATACTACCCTGTTTCCCTGAAAATAAGACAGTGTCTTATATTAATTTTTGCTCCCAAAGATGCGCTAGGTCTTATTTTCAGGGGATGTCTTATTTTTTCCATGAAGAAGAATACGGTACACATTTAATTGTTAAATGAAAATAAAGAAAATTTTGTCGAAGCCGGTTTGGCTCAGTGGTAGAGCATCGGTCTGCGGACTGAAAGGTCCGGGGTTCGATTCCGGTCAAGGGCATGTACTTTGGTTGTGGGCACATCCCCGGTGGGGGGTGTGCAGGAGGCAGCTGGTCGATGTTTCTCTCTCATTGACGTTTCTAGCTCTCTATCTCTCTCCCTTCCTCTATGTAAAAAATCAATAAAATATATTTTAAAAAAAGAGAATAAGGAAAATTTATTACCTGTATACGGTACGGTAGTACGGTAGTTGTCAACACAAACCAGATAAACTGTGAATCTTACAATATCAAGAATTTACTCATTTATTCAATGACAACCATGTCATCATCTTCTGGAACATCATCATAACAATCCAATTCCTGAATTTCCTGGTGAATTTCTTGTGAAATGAATAAGACCTCCATTTCTTTCAGAATCAGTGGACCAAATCTCTCATGTTTAGCCTGGGGGGGAGGGCTTATTTTGGGGGAGATGCCTTATATTTCGCTCAGAAGGAAACTGTAAGTAGGTCTTATTTTCGGAGGACGTCTTATTTTCGGGGAAACACGGTATGACGAGGCTCTCCTGTGCTGGATAAGCCTTCCCTGGCTGCCTGGTTTCCACAGGGCAACCACACAGGTGCTCCTCCGGCCGCTCTCCCACAGAACAAGCTGTGCTGGCGGGCGAACAGGGGACGAGCTATCGCAAGGGCACAGAGTGGGGCTGGGGTGGGGGCCAACCAAAAGCAAAGTCCTCCCCAGGTCCCCGCAGACTCAGAAACAGCCAGCCTCCCACGGGACCTTGCTTTTCCGGGAGCACATCCCTCGCCATTAGGACAGGGTCTCCGCTCCCACCCCAGGGACCAGGCAGGCTGCTCGGTGGTGGGAAGAAAGAGGGGCACTCACCGGGGGAAGATGGCAGTCATCAAGGCTGAAGCGTAGCCGGGCTTGCAAGCTCCCTCTGAGAAGTTTGCGTACTTGGTGGCCAACTCCGCGGGCCTGTGGGGAGAGAGGGAGAGTCACCGCCTGCCGGGCACTTCGCAGTCAGGGGGGTCACTGGTTTGTGAAGAGCTGTAGGTGTTAAACCTTGACTAAAGCTTCATTCCCTACAATCAGCACTTAAGTCCTTCTTCTACACCAAGGCTTCAGGGGGGCAAAAGCCCCTCAAATCAAAAAGCCCTAAGGGACTAGGTAGATAAACAAGCAAGGAACTTGGTAAAAAGAACTCATGGGTTCGCACAGATTCTCTTGCAGTAACTCTGATACGGAGAAAACCAGGCTCTGAGACTGGGAACGCAGAGCCTGGACCTCTGAAGGGAGAGCTGCTCAGGCTTTGATCAAGTCAGCAGCACTGCCCTTTCCACGTCCTTCTATATCCTGCCGGCCAGCCTCACCTGCCTCGATGCTCTCCAGCCATGGAAGCCACTCACAGGGTGCCCTGAATACAGAACACATGAACGCTGGGCTATGTACTGTGACCATCAGACAGCTGAGAAAGTTCTCGTCCTCTTCTCTCTGGCTAGAGTGTTCTTCCTTGTCCTTCTCTACTTAGCTATGCCTACTGAGCTTTCAAAACTAAGCTCAGATGTCAACTTCACTGGGAGTAATTCCCTGACCTCCAGACTGCCCCCCCCCACACACACACACACTCCATGCTAACTCCCATCAGCCCTCACTGTGCTGTGCTGGAACTGTTGGTAGCATGTCTCCCTCTTTACACTGTAAGTTCCTGAGCTCAGTCTGATGGAACCCTGCCCCCCAGTACCTTACACAGAAATGGGCAAACAAAGACCCTTATAATTTTGTTAAGGAACAAAATGACCCTGAGCGTCTCACTGTGCTTGGACTGGAACCAAGACAGTGTTGGGAACCCACAAGTCAGAGATGGCCGAAAAATTTTCAGAAGACTTGTGTGTTCTAGCCCTGGCTTTGTTGCCGTGTGACTGGTGACACGTCACCTCATACCTTTGGGCTTCAATGCCTTTATGTGTTCAGTGTGGGGCTGGAGTAGTCTGTACAGAAAACCACATCGGAAGAACAGGATACTTGCAGTGACTGCTGGGGCTGGAGGCCCTGCATGCTGGGGACCTGAGGAAATCCCAGGCTGACTGCCAGTTCCCAGCTCCAGCCTCCCCCGCCTCCACCTTTGGATCTGCTGCCAAAACTGATCACTCTGATGCCCGGCTGCTCTACTGTGCTGGGCCCTGTGGCAAATGTCCCTTAGAGCTGCCTTCCGCAGGGTCTGGGTGGGGCCATATAAGGTGGTGGTGTTGGGGGGGGGGAGGTGCTGGGGAGGGGCTGGCACCTGCACTAGGTAGCCAGAAACCATGGGCACTGCCTATCATGTGTCATGTGTGACTTACTCATGTAACACTGAGGGCCTAGCCCAGGGCCGCACACAGAATAACTGCTCAGTGAATTTAGACAAGCTCGTCTGTATCCATGTGCGATTTCTTCTAGAAATCCATGTGTTTTTTTAGCCATCCCTACCAATGACATTTCAAACCTCAATGCAAAAGCAAATGATGAGTGACAAGCCAGGGCAGGGACTTCATTTGGCAGGCAAAAGAAAGTCAAAGGCTTAACAAGAAATATTTACATAGCAATATTTTTTTATGTAAACAACAGTATTTCAGAAGCAAAATACAAACTTACATTTCAATTACTAAACTTACTGGAAGCTTTTGGACTAGGCACAGTGATGACAACATTATGGATTTTTTTAAATTACTCCTCTTGATAGCCATGTGCTATTAATTATTAATTTCTACACAAGCTCAGGAAGATGAAGAGACTTATCCAATATCACACGACTAGTAAGTGGCAGGTACTGGATTTGAACCTGTTTCTAACACCGGTGCAGGAGCTCCTGACATGGCATTGCCACCAGCGGGGATTACAGCAAGTGCCACCACAGGGAAGCGGAGCCTCGGGCAGTGCACAAGTGGCAGTGCAACCGGAGATGGGGAGAGGTCAGAAGTGTGTATATGGCAGCAAGGCACCATGAGTTCCTCAGACCCTGGTCTCCCAACCCCCACCACCTGCCTGCCCACCTTGTACAGTGAGTACCCTCGGTCTTTCTGAATTCTAGAAAATTTCACAAAGAATATGAAAGATGGCCGAGACCGGTTTGGCTCAGTGGATAGAGCGTCGGCCTGTGGACTCAAGGGTCTCGGGTTTGATTCCGGTCAAGGGCATGTACCTTGGTTGCGGGCACATCCCCCCAGCAGGAAGTGTGCAGGAGGCACCTTATCAATATTTCTCTCTTATCACTGTTTCTAACTCTCTATTCTTCTCCCTTCCTCTCTGTTAAAAAAAAAAAATCAATAAAATATATTTTAAAAAAGAATATGAAAGATGAATGGCAGTTGCCTCGTTAGCACAGTGCACTGCATAAATACACCTACAATAGGAGATACACCTTTGGCTACCTCTCTCCTCTCTAGTTTACACCATCAACTTAAAAAAAAAATATATATATATATATATATATATATATATATAAATATATAAGTAAATATATATATATATATATATATTAATTATTGACTTTTTACACAGAGGAAGGGAGAGTGATAGAGAGTTAGAAACATCAATCAGCTGTCTCCTGCACACCTTCCACTGGGGATGTGCCTGCAACCAAGGTACATGCCCTTGATTGGAATCCACTGAGCCAAACCGGTTTTGGCTACGCCATCAACTTTTGACAAGGTGCTTCAAGGTTAAGGGCTATGGACCAGTCCGGGTAATCTATGGCAGAGAGGAGGGAGCACCGGCAAGATGGATGGAGCCCGGGGAGCCAGACCCAGCAGAAAAGGCTCTCCCCATGGCAGGGCGAGGTAGTCACCCATCAAGGACCATTGGCTGTAAACACCCTCCCTGGCCCTGCCCAATTCGAAAAGCAGCAGTAACTTCAAAAACACAGGGCCCTGGGTACAGCGGGTGGGTGAAATGATTACCAAATTAAAATGCCTTCGACAGGGCCTCCCGGCTCTCCCAGTAAGAGAAGAATAGGGGGAGTGTTGGGAACTCTGAGTCACACAGCAGCCTGGGACCCCTGGGGCAGTCAGCGGTCAAAGCCACCAAGACTAACAGTCGCCAACTCCCCAGGGCCAGAATAGTTAGTTTCTCTAAGGCACTCTCACTCCAAATGCCAGGAGGCCCCCACAGATGTCTGAGCAAATCACTCGGCCCTTGTTCTGCGCTGCAGCTGGCCTTTCCTTTCGGGAAGCTTTCGCATTTCAAACAGTTAAGAGCCCCCATTGTCCTGCGAACGTGACTACCGAGACCCTGGGGTGAAGAGGGTGAACCCATGCACCCTCCAGAGGAAATCCAGATGGACAGGCTGGAATCTGAGAGACGGAACCAGACTTCCCTCCCCTGCTGCACTCACAAGCACCACGTGGAAGGAGTCAGGCCAAGCGTTGGGTTATAAATAAGACGTGTAGAATCTGGAATCAGACCCGTTCTCAGAGGACACTGGCAAGCCGCGTGGCCTTGGGCTAGTGACGGAAAATCGGGCTCTCAGCTTCCTCATCTGCCAATGAGAACCACTCGGTTCCCAGGGATGTTAGGGGGGATGTGGGGAGAAAGCCCACGCGGAGGGTGGCAGCACACACGCACTGTGAGAGATGAGGTGGCAGCGGCAGGCAGCCGGGCTCTGAACACGTGGTGCCAGTTTGGGTTCTGTCACCAGGGCGAGTCGCGGATGGATCTCCAGTGGAAGCGTGCGTTGTGGGGCTCAACATTTGGGAGACAAAAAGTAGCACTGCAAGAGGAGAGAGTGTGATGGCTCCGTTGCCAAGGGAAGGAAGTATCTCAAGAAGGACAGAGGGACCAGCTGTGCCAAACACAGGGGTAGGCCAGGTGCGGCCCAGGACTGGCAGCTGGATTTGGCAACACGAGGTTACTCCTGACCTTGACAAGAGCTGTTTCCCTGGAGGGGTGAGGGCTGGGGGACAAAATGCGTCTTTCATTGGATTTAAGAGAAACGGAAGAACTGGCGACATGGAATAAAAACTGGAGTTTTGCTATAAAGGAAGACAGAGAAATGGGGAAATTAGCTGGAGGAGAGAAGGAAATACGTTAGCATGTTGATAAGCTGCTTAGAATAAGAGAAAAGCTCATGAGTAGTCGAGGTGGGACAGTTGGAGGAAAAATGCTTTTGCACAGTGAGGGGAAAGGACTTAATACAAAAGAAGGGTTGGTCTTATCTCGGCTCATCCTGACTTTCCCTGTGATTACCTGTGCATCTTGCAATATTCAGTGTAAGCACCGCTTCCTTTAGGAAACTTTTCATGATTGCTCCCCTTCCTGAGTAGAAACAGCCCTTTCTTCCTGGGGACCCCATCTTACCTAGAGCTGACTTCCGCCTTCAGCTTGCCCAATTGTCTCCACACACTCTCTTTCTCTCCCACCTCCATCCCTTCCTTCCTCCATTCATTCATTCACTCAACAAATGTAGAGGCAACAGAGTGACTCTGCTTGGATCTGTATCCTGCCTCAATCCAGCAATCCTGGATTGTGAGAGGATGGGGATTGGACCTAAACAGGCAGTTGGACATCCCTCGAGGGGTCCCACTTTGGAGAGGGTGCAGGCTGGGCTGAGGACACTCCCCCCCTGCACAAATTTTGTGCACTGGGCCTCTAGTATATTGTATATGGGGCCCCTAGAGCCATAAGAAATGCAAAAAATTCACTGTTAGTAACTCATTCTCAAATTGACCCCTTAAAATCAAATTGACCCCCTGTGGAGAGTGTGCCCCATGTTGGGAACCACTGTCCTAGACCATGAAAATTGAGCATAATGCACAGCACAGAATACATAAGTACCCAACAAAATGTTCCTTAGACTAAACCCAACCGGTTAATTAACTTGACTTGAAAGTTTGCTGACAAGAAGTGTGGGGAGAGGTGGTGACAGTGAGGAAAATGGAGAAGGGACTTCAACAGTGATTCCTGAGGACTCTCTAGATCAGTGATGAGCATCTTGTGACCAA